AGGGAGGGGTGGCGGATCTCTAAGAGGGTGTGCTGTAAACATTCCCATTTGACCATACCCTCTTCACCACGTCTATGGAGGTGGTACATGATGAGGGGCGCCCTCATCATGTACCACCTCCATAGTGCCCCTCATCACCACGACCATCTGCACCAGCACCCCTCATCACCACGCCCATCCGCACCCGCACCCCTCATCACCACGCCCATCCGCACGCCCATCCGCCGCACCCTCATCACCACGCCCATCCGCACCCGCACCCCTCATCACCACGCCCATCCGCACCCGCGCCCCTCATCACCACGCCCATCCGCACCCGCACCCCTCATCACCACGCCCATCCGCACCCGCGCCCCTCATCACCACGTCCACCTCCACCAGTGCCCCTTCACTACCATGTTCACCTCTACCCGCTTCCCGTATCACCACGCCCTTGAACTAGACTTTTCGCCTGCAGCAGACAGACAGACACAGAGAGACACAGACAGACAGGCAGACACACGAGACAGTCTGTCGTGGCAAACAGTTTTACAGGTCTGGGATGTGAGGAAAATATTCCCCTTTTTATTCCGTTTTTCTTCTCCTTTCCCTTCTCTAATTTCTTGTCTTCCTCTCTTCCCCCTCATATTCCCCCCTTGCTTCTCCCCTTACCTCCCCCTCACCTACTTGTCTTCCTCCCTCACTTCACCTCCTCGCTCCTCCACTTACCTCCCCTCACCTCGTCTCCCCTTCACCTCCCCTCATCACTCCTCCAGGAAGTAGGGTACGACTCCAGGCATTATTACATGCATATATATATTTATAAGGGGGAGCGTCGGAAGTTGTCATATAGGGCAGTGTTGTGGAGCTACCATGCTCTCTCTCTCTCTCTCTCTCTCTCTCTCTCTCTCTCTCTCACCTTCGTACCAGGCGGGAGGGAGCAAAAGTCCTAACCGGTGTAGAATTACTTATTGAAGGAAAGGTAAATATGATCTTCGTGTTGATTACATGAAATAAAGGGTGACGTGCCTGGTTACAGCAACACCATCCACAGATCCACCCACACGGCCCCACAGGCAACAGATCTCCCACTACACCATCCCCAAGCAACAGATCCCCCCACACACCAACGACGTGCTCAGAACCGTTAGTACCGAAGTAGTGTCTTGTAACGTTACTACTAAACATCACGCGAACAACACAAACAGAGACGGTGCTCTCGACACGTGCTTCAGCTCTCGCAGTCAAACTTAACAAAAAGTGATGAGTTAAATAGGTTAAAATGTCGGAGTGGCGGAGATGACGTTTGCGACCACTTACGACCACGACGACCACCATCACCACGACCCTGGAGATAGAGGAGCGGAAACAATGAGAATTTCGGAGAGGAGAATTTGGGTCTCTTTTTAACTAAATTGTTTCAACCTTTATCCTGTGTTTTGACGATGGCGGGTCAGTCAGCTCCGTGGAGGGTGAGGGGGGAGGTGGGGAGGGTTGGGTGAGAGGGAGGGAAGGAGGATAAGATGGAGGGAGAAAGAGAGAGGGAAAGGGAGGGTTAGATGGAAGGAAGAAGAGATGGAGGGAGGGAGGGAGGGAGGAAAGGAGGGTGGAAGGGAAGGGAGGCATTATCTTAAGGCTCAAACTCGACGGAAACCAAGTGGCTTAACGACCAGACGAGATATTAAGAACAAATTCCACTCAAATTGTTTTACCCTTTTGTCCGAAACTGTTGAGGATAGGTCGTCAACTAGGGTGGGGCAGGGGTCGTCAACTAGGGTGGTGCATGGGTCGTCAACTAGGGTGGTGCAGGAGCCGTACCTAGGGTGGTGTAGGGGTCGTACCTAGGGAATCGTACCTAGGGTGGTGTAGATTAATCACTAGGGGTGGGGTCGTCAGCTGAGGTGATCTGGGGTCGTATCTGAGGTGATATTTTTGGGGGGGTTGTGTCTGGAGTGTTGCCGAGGATGGGCATGCTTCATGACTTTATAACTCCTTCATGACGACTTTGACAGCAGAATATACCTAATGGTAGAGTGTTGTTCAGAGGAGGGAGAGGAAGAGGGAGAAGAAAGAGGAGGGAGAATTTGGTAACAGTGGACCAGTGTCAGCAATGGGATGCCAAGGGACACATACAAGATCAGACTCCCTCTCTTCCCTCCTCTACCCCCCTTATATTTAAGGTCCTTGTACTGGTTGGCTGTCTGTGTATATGGAAATTGCATTGCTTGCTCTCTCTCTCTCTCTCTCTCTCTCTCTCTCTCTCTCTCTCTTTCTCTCTCTCTCTTCTACACTGCATCCAGCCCACTCCCACTACACGACCATACATACTACCACAACCAGCTGACATCCACCATCACAACCAGCTGACATCCACCATCACAACCAGCTGACATCCACCATCACAACCAGCTGACATCCACCATTACAACCAGCTGACATCCACCATCACAACCAGCTGACATCCACCATTACAACCAGCTGACATCCCGCCATGCAACCAGCTGACATCGTGTAGTGTAAAGATTTCCGCCCCTTTCTTTTAACACAGCCTTATTATCTACAACTTCCTGTGGGAGGACCTCGGAGCTCTTCAAGACAGTAGGACCCCCATCGGTGCCACTGATTTATAGAGGCCGCTGGGTTGTGCCTCAGGCCTCTCTTTGGTGGTTGGTCCTCGTGCGGGATGTATTCAGTAGAGTTGAGGATATGCTTGTTGAAGTTAGGGGTCGAGGTTGTGCTTGTTGGGGGGCGAATCGGGATGTGCTTGTTGAAGGATTGGGGTCGGGTTGTGCTTGCTGAGGGGTTGGGGAGTCGAGGTTGTGCTGATGAGGGTTGGGGTCGAGGTTGTGCTTGTTGTAGGATTGATTCGGATTGTGCTTGTTGAGGCGAGTCGAGGCTGTGCTTGTTGAGGGTTAGAGGTCGAGTTATTGCTGATGAGGTTGGGGGTCGAGTTGTGCTTGCTGAGGGGGTTGGGGTCGAGGTTGTGCTTGCTGAGGTTGAGTCGGGTTGTGCTTGTTGAGGGGGTTGGGGAGTCGAGGTTGTGCTCGAGTCAAATCTTCGAGGATGTGTTACATGTGGGCGTTACCTGTGGGTGTTACTTGTGGATGTACCTGTGGGTGTTACCTGTACATTTTAGATCATTCGTTCCAGCGCATTGGAAGGTCGTCTCTGAGAATCTTGTGGGTGTTAGGTTGTGGCCTCCTTGGTCGTGAAGGATGGTCTTGATCCTGGATGGTCTTGGTCCTGGATGGTCTTGATGTGGCAGATGGCCTTGGTCCTGGATGGTCTTGGTCTGGATGGTCTTGGTCCTGGTTGGTCTTGGTCTGGATGGTCTTGGTCCTGGATGGTCTTGGTCTGGTTGGTCTTGGTCCTGGATGGTCTTGATCCTGGATGGTCTTGGTCCTGGATGGTCTTGGTCTTGGATGGCCTTGGTCCTGGATGGTCTTGGTCCTGGTTGGTCTTGGTCTGGATGGTCTTGGTCCTGGATGGTCTTGGTCCTGGATGGTCTTGGTCCTGGATGGTCTTGGTCTGGATGGTCTTGGTCTTGGATGGCCTTGGTCTGGATGGTCTTGGTCCTGGATGGTCTTGGTTCTGGATGGTCTTGGTCTGGATAGTCTTGGTCTGGATGGTCTTGGTCTGATTGGCCCTTGGTCCTGGATGGTCTTGGTCTGGATGGTCTTTGTCCTGGATGGTCTTGGTCCTGGATGGCCGCCTTGGTCTGATTGGCCTTGGTCCTGGATAGTCTTGGTCCTGGATGGTCTTGGTCCTGGATAGTCTTGGTCCTGGATGGTCTTGGTCCTGGATAGTCTTGGTCCTGGATGGTCTTGGTCCTGGATGGTCTTGGTCCTGGATGGTCTTGGACCTGGATAGTCTTGGTCCTGGATGGTCTTGGTCCTGGATGGTCTTGATCCTGGATGGTCTTGGTCCTGGATGGTCTTGATGGGTTCAAGGGTCTGGCTCTTTTGGTTTTATAGTGCCAGTTATCACCCTGGCAGCAATACAGTGCCAACTTCCTAAACCCTGGCAGCTCTACAGTGCCTCTATAGAACACTAGACAGACAGACGGTGAGCACCAAGTTTAATGATGTTGAAAATGAGAAGGATGAGCGTGACGAGGCTCCTCATGGCACCCTGCGAGTTTTGTGCCTCCAACCATCGCCTTCCGTTCGTTCGCCTGGCGCTCCCGGACGCCCGCTAAACCTACCCTTTTATCCCTACGATCTAGGGTCAGAGTGCCATCCTCTACAGCGGACGAAAACTGGTGGAAGCAGTCAGGGGTGTTGAGGGAGGGAGGGAAGGAGGGCCAGGGGGTGTGGTAGGTGGGGGACGAGGGCCCAGGGTAGCGCAAGCCTCCTAACACGTGGACTGGTTAATCCAATTGAAAGTGGTAATAAAATATGGTTGCGAGCAACAGGATAATCACACGTTTCCACCACACACCACGATCGTCGGGCCCGACACACCGGCTCAGCTGATCACAGACTTTAGCGAGTTTTGGGAGAGGTGGACGGGTGAGGGAGGGAGGGGGGCAGGAGCCACAGTGTAAACAAAACACATGGCTTCCTTAGGAAATGAGGAGAATCGTTGTTGTTAGTCTTCATCAGCGGCAACAGCAGGCGGCTACTCCTTGGCACAAGCTGCGGGCAGGAGGGCAGGCACGACCCGGCTCATTCATGACCCTCTCCCCTCCCCCGCCCCGCTTCCCTCTCATCTTTACTCTTCCTCTCTTTGTCTTCTGTCTTCTGTTTATGGTGTATTCGTGTCTTGGTGAATCCCCACATGTGTATCAAACTGTAAACATTCTATTATTGAGTATAAGAAAATTGTTACGTAAGACAGTGTCTGCACCTGAGGCCTGAGGAGTGAAGCATCAAGTAATAAACATTGTTCCTCTCTACTTGACGGAGGTTCTGTCCTCTTAAGTAAGACTTTAACACTTTGCTATTTTACTTTAGTTATGTCTATTGTTTGCATGTAGAGTATTGTTGTTGATATTAACGTGTTGTTGTTGTTTGTTACAGCCTCGGTGGGCAGCGCGGAGGAGAAGCGCAGCCCGGCGAGAGTGGGGGAGCCCCCGTCCCCCGCCTCACTCCCCCACCAGGAACATCTACAACCTGTCCACCACCTCCACCCGACCCCGGCCTCCACCCCTGTTCACCAGGAGGCCGTGAAGCAGGAGGTGCAGGAGGCCACAGTCAGCCCCCGAGGCGTGTCTCCTGGGGTGCTGGTCAGCCCTTGTGGGTCCCCGGGGGAGAGTGGAGCTGACACCACCATGTTCCCCCACCAGGCGGCGGCGTCAGCAGCGGCGGCGGGTGGCACCACACAATCCACCCCAGAAAATCAGAAGCTACAGTACCGCGGGTCGTTCACGACGGCGACGCCAGCAGGCCCCATCACAGGTCCTCAGGTCACCACGCCTTCCCCTACCACCCTCAGCGCCTGGCTCTTCCCTAACACCTCACATGACAAAACCTCCGTCCTTACGCCCTTCCTCGGCTTCCTCCAGCAGCCCGCTGGCCATCAGGTCCTGTCGGATCCCTCAGTTTCTGTGGCCGGAGGCTTCCCTGCCACCAGCTATGAAGACCGGCTGCCGGCCCTCTCCCTCTCTAACGCAGATCTCATACCCTTCGAAATACAGTCGCCCGGGGCACTCAAGCAGCCACCCACCTACTCATCGTGTTCCTCAGCTTCCGTCGTCACCACCACCTCCCTCACCAGTGCTCAGCTCCAGCAGTCCCAGCAGCTGCCCATCCCAGGGACGCAACAGCAGCAGCAGCCACAACAGCCACAGCCACCGACTCAGCCACAGCAATCTCAGCCCCAGCAGCAGCAACAGCAACAACAACAACAACAACAGCAGCAGCAACAGCAGCAGCTAGCGGGTGTAGGTCAGGCTGGAGCAATACAGGTAGACTTCAACCGAGGGATGGTGAGCAGCGTGGGCAACAAGTTTCAGTATGCAGTGGGCAGCTATACGTCCCCACAAGTGCCATACAGTGAGCCCGTGCCGGGACCCTCAGGCGTGGTGGTGCCCAAGCAGGAGCCGCTCTACCAGGACGCTGCCTCCCTGGCCGAGTACAATCAGTCGACTAGCAAGGGACACGAGATCCTCTCACAGGTGTACCAGCAGAGTCCGCTGCCCCTCAAGCTACTCCCCGTGAAGCCCCGAAAATACCCCAACCGGCCAAGCAAGACGCCGGTGCATGAGAGACCATACGCCTGTCCCGTCGAGAACTGCGACAGACGGTTCTCCCGCTCTGATGAGTTGACGCGACATATCCGAATCCACACGGGCCAGAAGCCCTTCCAGTGTCGGATTTGCATGAGGTCGTTCTCTCGCTCCGACCACCTAACCACACACATCCGCACACACACGGGGGAGAAGCCCTTCTGCTGCGACGTTTGCTCCAGAAAGTTCGCGCGCTCTGACGAAAAGAAGAGACACGCGAAAGTTCACCTCAAACAAAAGCTAAAAAAGGTGAGTGGGAGCTCGCCGAGCGCGCCGCCCCCACCCACCACCACCAGTAGTAGTAGCGCCTCCCTCACAGCCCCCGGAACCAGCTCACAGCACCAACAGCCGCCACACCTACAGCAGGTCCCGACACAGCAACAGCAGCAGCCGGTACCTCAGACCCAGCAGCAGCAGCAGGCGGCGCAGCAGCAGGCGGCGCAGCAACAGGCGGCGGCGCAGCAGCAGCACCAACAGCAGCTGGTGACAGCGGGGGTGGTGGGCGGGGCCGGCGTGGTGGTCACGACGGTGTAAACAAACCCACCTCAACCTCCTCAGTTCTCCATAAGACATTTTTTTACAAGCTTTAACTAAGCTTTATGGGCGGGGCCGGGCGGTGGGCGGGCCAGGTGTGGGCGGGGTAGCACCATGCCCGCATTAACTCCCTCATTAACCAGTAACTCGGTAACCACCGCGGCTACCGGCCACCTCGTCTCCCCTGGGCCTCGACTTCCCGACACCTCGCCCCTCAACCCCACTATTTTTGTATATTGAAGTGGCGGCGGAGGGCGGCCATGGCCCTGCAGTGTGGCGACCTTCTCCTCCACTACTAAGTCAACTCTTGTGTGTGTTGTTAAAGGGGAGGTCCCCCCCACTCCTCACTGACGGAGCGGCGCCCCCTGGGTCTACCTCGAGCCCTCGGCGCCCCTCTTGTGACCTTCCTGTGTCAGTCTTGCCGTGCCATAACCTGAACTGTGTCAAGTGTCAGTGCCATCATCCCCCCCCCCCACCAGGAGCGAGAGGGCGGTGCCTCCAGGGTCGTCCCCGCCCCCCTCACCCGCATGTCACGGGCCAGACTGTAACGTTATGGGTCAGGCTGTGACGTCATTGGTCAGGCTGTGACGTCATTGGTTAGACTGTGAGGTCACTGGACAGGCCTTAGCGACGTTAAAGACTAAATCGTGATGTCATTGGTCAAAAACATTGTGATGTCACTGACCGGGCCGCTATGTCGTTGGTCAGGACGGTGTGGTGTCATTGACAAGAAATGTAATGTCATTGATATGACCGGTGACGTCACCAACCTGGCTGTGACGTCATTGGTCAAGTCGTGTGTGACGTCACTGACCAGGCTGTGCTCCTCACTCGTTGTTTTCTAATATTTGGAATGCCATGTGATGTTAGATTGTGATTTGTGTTCGTCATTATTGTGATCTGTAGCTGTCAACTTTTATTTATATTTTTCTACGTGAAGTTTACGTCCGAAAACAAAGAGAATTATTGAAAACATTAAAAAAGAGTCCTCGAACTGACTGTGTCTCCCACTATTTCCCTCTCTCTCCCTCTCGGGGCTGATCATCTCTCTCACCCCTAGGTCTACCTCTCCAGGGTGTACCATATCCCTATCTCAGGAGGCAGAAACCCAAGGTAGAGACCATCTCTCTACTCCACAAACTTCAAAAAGGTAGAGAGACCAAAATCTTCCTCAGGGCACAACAAACTAAAAGAACCTGTGGTGGAGACTCTCTCTCTCTCTCTCTCTCTCTCTCTCTCTCTCTCTCTCTCTCTCTCTCTCTGACACCCGAGGTAGAGACCGTGTGTTTCTACCAGGACATGAGACAGGTGGTGGCGCCCCCTCCCCGCAGGTTGGTGGCCCCTGGGGTAGAGACAGATGGGACAGATGGTGCCCCTCCAGGTAGTGGCCCCGTGGGTAGAGACAGGTGGTGGCGCCCTCTCCCTCCACAGGTGGTGACCCCGGGGGTAACTCCTCAACACCACTAGTGACTCAGGTGGTGCAAAGTTGGCGACGAGTGGGAGTGTCACCTTGAGGCAGACACCCCGAGCCCAGGAAAAACCCAGCTAGCAGTTAGCTTGATTACGGCTAAAATTAGCTGGAATCCATGTAAAAAAAAAATATTTGCTTGGACACAGCTAACTATAGCCGTAGTCCAGACATAGAGACAGCTCGGGTTTATCTAGCAGCACTTGTAACAGAATCCAGCCACAGGTAGACGAAATTGAAGTAGATTTATTGAACCAATTCTATAGAGATACCATTATATACTGTATACATACGAGGGATGAACCTTGAAACATTGATGTGATATAAACAAGGTAGGCAAGAATGTGATAAGTATTAGTGATAAAATATATTATATGCTATAACACTGTGGCTGGCATTGTGATATATGGAAAGGTGTGATATAGGGAGTGGAGACTGTTAAGGGTGGCCCCATCTTCAACCTCCATTTTATAAACATTAAAAAATGTATATGTTTCAAAGAGGATTTTTAAGCATTTATTTTTTTTTCTCAATCAGACCAACAATGTCTTCTTGTGAGACACGTTCCTCAAGCCACATCTTTCTCAGCTCTCCACAATCAGTTTTTTACACATCTCGCACAAACCATTTTCCAAATAATATAATTAATTCATTACTGATCGTGTGTCAAGTATAATAAGTTTTTCGCGTCGCCTCGACTTTGAGAAGCTGCAAGTCTTTTTTATGCGATTCCCAAAGTTTTCGAGGCGGAAAAACAAATCCAAAGTTTTGTGACGGATAGATGTATATATTTGCAAAATTTATGTGTTAGAGGAAAAAACAAATATAAATATATATATAAATTCAAATATTAAAGTTTTATAGAGAAAACAAATTGGTGGGTGATGTTAAGAGTGAAGGCGGCCACTGCCTCAACCTCCGCTCGTTGCCAAGACTTTGGAATTAACGGTACAAAATCGCCTTATGACTCTATATGCCTGTGAGTTCTTGATTCTTTGTACAAATATCTGTTGGTGTATAGAAGAAAGACTGTTTTAACGAGAGAATCTATATTCACGATGTCCTGGAAATGTGACGTTGGGGTAACCTTTTTTTGAGAGATATCTGTATAGAAAGGAAGAGTTGTCAAGAGAGAATCTTTATAAAACAATAGGTGCCCAGACCATTGTGACGTGAGGTACTGTTCATTGAGATATCTGTATAGCAAGACTTGTCTTAAGAGAGTCTATATATATAAATATATATATATATGAAAAAAACATAAATATACGGTGTCCATGAATTGTGGCGACGTTGAAGCTGTACTTTCTATTGAGGTATCTGGCAACTGTTTGTTTGTTTGTTTGTTGTTGTTGTGTGTCGAGAGGAAGAGTTTCCAGTGTGTGTATATTCAACTTTTCAACGTTTAAAACAACTATGTATTAATCAGATTTTATAATTGTGTATCATTGAGACAAGTTCCCTCTCTAACTTCCTTCCTCTTCCCCCAAACGTATTGTAATATTGAGCACAAAAATTATATATATATATATATATATATATATATATATATATATATATATATATATATATATATATATATATATATATATATATATATATATATATATATATATATATATAAATCATTGCCACATTTCACGCATTGTTCGCAGCTAAGACATGTACATCATATAACCATCTACATCTTCATTATTTCCCTTTAAAAATAAACAAGTCCTCACCTTAAAACAATCTGCAATAGTGTCAATTGGACAATCAATGTTCAATGTTCAATTATGTAGGAATTTGTCAATTTTGTCAGTGAAAAAAAGAGAAAAGGTGATAAACTGCTGAAATACAACAATTGCCATGAGTGTTCACTGTGAAATTTAAGTTGTGGTGTCTTGTACTCTGTGACGTCATTAGATGGCGCTCTCCTATTGGTCAATGAACGAATGACGTCATAAATGTTCCTTCGTGAATATAAAAAAGGTTGTCAGACTATTATTAAATTTGTGGAATATTGTTAATTGAGAATGTTATTTATTTACCAAAAATTTTAAATGTTATAAAGTGTGTATAATATACGTGTAAAATACTAATATAATTTTATGCTGAAATGTACAGTTTTTTCCTCAGTCCTGTTGTTGTTGGCGGTGTACGATAATGTTGATAACACAGATGCTAATAAAAACAAAACAATATAATAGCAAAAACCTAGAATAAACTAGCAGACAAAAATAACAAACTAGGAGATGAAAATAGATACTGGTAAAATGTAAAGATTTAAAACTAGCAAATACCAGAAGTAATGATGTTTGATTAAATATTAAATAAAAAATTTAACTAGCAAAAAAAATAGTAACTAATAGAAATGTAACAAAAATTAGAAAGAAATATCAAACAAGCAAAGAAAAAAGCAAAAACTAGGAAAAAAATTAACAAACTAGCAAAGAAAAAAAGAGTAAACCTAATAAAGAAAAAAATAGGAGATACTAGCGAAGAAAAAAAAAGCAATACACTAGGAAAGAAAAAAGGCAAAAACTAAAAATACCAAAAAATTAATAGACAAAAAATAACACAAATTACCACGAGTCAAAATAGCAGTTACAGTACAAGCAAAAAAATGAATTACAATAGCAGAAAACAGCAAATAGCAACAATAATAACAAACTAGCAAAATATACAAAAAATAATAAAAATTACCAGAAATCAAATTGTGTCAAAAAAATTAAGACCAAAAAGTCATCAACCTCCATAAAACGAGAGAGAGAGAGAGAGAGAGAGAGAGAGAGAGAGAGAGAGAGAGTACCAGCGCCAAAACGAAAGAAGGAGACAGTTACAATCACTATCAGCTCATAACATAACACTAACTCTTCAAGGAGATCTAACACAACTCTCGTGAACCTTTTTATGTAACCAACTATAGGTAGAAAGTAGACGGGTAGAAGTGTAGACGGGTAGAAGGTAGACGGGTAGAAGGTAGACGGGTAGAAAGTAGACGGGTAGAAGGTAGACGGGTAGAAGGTAGACGGGTAGACGGGTAGAAGAACATACAACTACGAGTACTAGATCAATTTGGGTTTGTTTACGTATACATGACAACACACACACACACACACACACACACACACACACACACACACACACACACACACACACACACACGTTACTATTTTAGATGAACTATAACGTGATTTTTTTTCATTCGAGAGCAAACTTTTGAAACCTGAAGGAAACAAAAATGTAAATAGATATGACAACAAAGAAACAGTAAACAAGAGGAGGTAAAAAGAATACAACCATAATAAAGGGGGAAATACACCAAGAGGAGGAAGAGGAGGGGAAAAGATAAGGAAGAAGAGGAGGAGTATTAAGAAGAAGAGGAGTACTTCAATGCAGCGGCCACAAGTGATCCAACGAGTCGAGGTGTGTGTGTGTGTGTGTGTGTGTGTGTGTGTATGTGTGTGTATGTGTGTGTGTGTGTTACCTACCACGTATGCTATCCTCTGTACATATTCACTCGTCATTACCCTCACTCACACACAATGTCTAATACAGTATCTTCAAGAATATCATTTCTCTCTCTCTCTCTCTCTCTCTCTCTCTCTCTCTCTCTCTCAACAAACATACACAATAGGTAACAACTGTATGAAAGTGAGGCCTCTCTCTCTCTCTCTCTCTCTCTCTCTCTCTCTCAATACACATACCTGTAAAATATTCCCAAAGGGAGTTCGAATCCTAAGTCCCTAAACCTATGGAGAAGACATCGAATTCTGACAACACAATCCACAATCTTCTTGGCAGCAGAGATTCGAATCCCTAAAAGTAAGTGTTTAATCTGCCATAAGGGGGATTTCAAGTTCGGAATCTTCTTATCGTATTCCAAGTTGGGTAATCTTTCATACGACACTGGATACTGGGAAAAGAATGACGGATTATCTTTTTGTTTGGGTGAGGTGTGTGATGGTGATGGTGTTGAGGTGTGTGGTGGAGGTGTGGTGGTGGTGTGTGGGAGGTGTAGAGAGGAGTGTGATGGTGGTGAGGTGGGTGGTGAAGTGTGGTGTGTGGATGGTGTGAGGTGTGTGGTGGTGAGGTGGTGTTGAGGTGTGATGGTGGTGAGGTGTGGTGATAATGTGTGTGGTGTTGAGGTGGTGAGTGTGGTGGTGGGATGTGTGGTGTGTGTGATGGTGGTGAGGGTGTGTGATGGTGAGGTGGGAGGGTGTGTGAGGTGAGGTGGTGAGGTGTGTGGTGGGAGGTGGTAGTGTGGTGGGTAGGAGTGTGGTGGTGGTGAGGTGTGTGGTGGTGGTGAGGTGTGTGGTGGTGAGGTGTGTTGGGGTAAGGTGTGTTTGGCTGATGTATTACACACACACACACACTTTAGTCCGACCCCACCCTCGCCAATATATCCTCTCTCTCTCTCTCTCTCTCTCTCTCTCTCGAACACGCAAAATGACACTTAAAAAATACCCAACACAAACACACGACAAGACAAAAACATAATAACCTCTTCAACGTGCCACACACAAAACACATTTCCTCTCCCTCACTTCTATGACAACAATGGCAGTGCATGAAGACGTGCCAGAGAACATCACTTCCCCATCCACCCAGACATGACATGAAATGACATGACAAACTTCCTAGCGTTCCAAGTGTCATAACTCTGTCAAATACGAACGAAATTGATTGATATCTTCTCTATTCCAGGGTCTTTATGTTATGTTATTTTAGACTAAATTTGGTTAAGATCTGATTGTACGTCGTCAAGTTATCGCAGGGAAACAGAGCGCCACTGACGGACAGCTGGATGAAAGGAGCTGACACGTAGAGATACTTTTACCGAGGTTCTCTATGACAGAATTGATAAGAAGACTCGTTAATCTGTCTTCTGGACCGAATCTTTGTCAACACAAGCAACTTTCAAACACGAACTTTTAGGTTAGGTTAGACAAACTAAGCTAGCAGAGATGGTTTGGTTAGGTGAAGTTAGATTAGGTGAGGTTAGGTTAATTAGGTGATGCAATGTTGGTTAGGTTAGGTTAAGTTAGAATTAATAGTCGCACTCATACACTACACTCAATAGGTACAATAGCCTACTGGTACATAAGACCCCTTTATTAGGTACTGAGTACACACTAGCGAGTCCAAGTCTTGTACTTGACTCACCCACTAACCATTAACCATCACTCAGCCTTAAACTCATGCCACTAATACATCTTCCTCCTGATATTCTTACTCTGGACACGAGTTGGTGGTTGTTGCGTTATATATCGATCAAGATCATTAAAGCGTTCGTGGGTTGATTTTATCGTCTGTATTTGGTGAAGTTGGGAACCCGACCAACCAGTTCATTTTAGCTCTGGTACGACAAATATGGCGGGAAAATTAGCTTCAAAATTGAGTCTTGAGATTCTGTCGTAGTTTGGATAGATCTCTAATCCTCAGTTAAGGGAGAAAAAGCCGTCTTGCGAATCGCTGTGAACCCGGGCTCAATGCTGATGCTCGCCTACAGAAGAAAGACATTAAGATAAGCTGGTCCCCAGAGCCATAATTTGATGATAAACACACTCGCCATTGTCAATACAGGCGCAGTAAATGCTTACTTACTTCCCTGCCTGAGTGCCCTTCCTTCTCCCTCACTCGACACCTCCTCTGTTAGGCTGGTCTTCTCTTTTATATCTTTGATAAATATATTCATCGCTTTCAGCCAATCACAACTTGACCTTTAGGTCTCCACGTGACCCGTTTGTTTACGTTCGTGCGAGGCTGATTTACCCCTCCCCCCCTCCGCATTTTGCCGTGCTTATGGTAATACAATTCTACCCTCACGCGTTTTTAAGCTGATGTTCTCTTCTTTCCTGCGTTTTTTCACTGAAATCATATACGTTCCCGCGGGTCTGGGTAAAATTAATAAGCTTAATGGGTTCCCACAAAATAATAGATTTTTCTGCGTATTTTCACGAGACTGACCCTGCCGGTGGCGCCATTTCAGGCTATCTTAACTAATAAACATGTCTGAGCAAAATCCGTTGTTGGTTTCTATACAAGGACGTGTTAATGAGGATAAAAAGTGGGGTCAATTAGCAATGGGCGGCCGTCCTTCATGAACGGCCAGTGGCAGGGCCAGGCTAGTGTTGCCATGTTGGAATACACTGTGGGCCTCGGTCGCTCGTTAGCCTTGGCATCTACCTCACTGGACATGCCCCAGGCTATACCACCTACCAAGGATGTACAGCAACTGGCAGACGTGTACACCACCTACCAAGGATGTACAGCAACTGGCAGACGTGTACACCACCTGCCAAGGATGAACAGTACCTAGTAGACGTGTACATCACCTGCGAAGGATGTACATTACCTGGCAGACGTGTACACACCACCTACCAAGGATGTACAGTACCTGGCAGACGTGTACACACTCAGCAGGTACTTGGTTGAGGCAGTATACACAGCCGGCATATATATTAATTTAAGTTTGATAGTGACTGATGAGTAGACGCTGGAAATTAAGCATTCGCTTAACATTAACTAAACAGAAAGAAACTTTACACTCTGTTTCATTAGAGAACACTTACCTGAGTACAGATATATGACTAAGAGGGGCGGTTTTGTACCATATATAATTATAGACTTTACTTAACCAAAATGAATTAAGAATTTCTAATACTTCATTTATGGTTACCAACAGATATCTGAACCAGTTACAAAACTTAAAAAAGAAAATGTTCATAAGCGTCGAAATAATGTCTCGATTCAGTTTCACGGAAGATTTATTTCATGAACGTCATTGAACACAAACCACTCAGCTAGTTCAATTGAGTGGCTTGGTTCATTGTTTTGAGCGTCGACTTTCATTGCTTTGATCAAAGTCTCGACTGTCAATTCTGTTTAATCTGATTCCCTCAATACTGTGAAGCGTCGACGTGAATGGTTGTGTGTGTTTGTTTAGTGTACACTCCCCTGCTACTATCACCACGACCATCACCACGAACACGACCATCACCACGAACACGACCATCACCACGAACACGACCATCACCACGAACACGACCATCACCACGATCTGTCCCCGAACACCAAAACGACGCAGATTCCCACCTCCACCTGCAGGAAAGAAATAGGCCAACAACATAACCAAAGAACAAGGTAGTTTTATCACATCACAGCACCATATAAACATCTAGTGTACTATCAGCCCGTCGTAAAAATTATCCTTCTTTTTATTTTTTTACTCTTGTGCTTCAAATTCTTTTTAACATATCTTCGGAACACAAGACAAAGGGATATTTTCTGGACCGACCATGCATACAGACTGTCACAGAGGTACAAATATGGCCATCTTGACCTTTGTGTGGACAGGTAAGGCGATTGTGGATCATCTGTTATGCAGGTGGCTGGCCAAAGTGAAGCGATTACCATTGGACCGGTTCATTTATACGCCTGATCCTGGTCAATGAGCAACTGTACGGGGGAGGGGGGGGTAGGAAGGGGTGGTGGTGCTGGGGTGATGGTGTTGGGGTGATGGTGGTGGTGCTGGGGTGATGGTGGTGGTGTTGGGTGATGGTGGTGGTGTTGGGTGATGGTGGTGGTGTTGGGGGAGTCGGTGGTGGTGTTGGGGGAGAAAGAGTGATGGTGGTGGTTGGAGTGAGAGAGGGTGGGGGAGTTGTTTTTGTTAGGGAGAGGGTGGTGGTGTAGAGGGGAGGGTGGTGGGTGGTGGTGAGGAGGGGAGGGGTGGTGGTGTGGTGTAGGGGTGGTGAGGTAGAGGGGAGGGTGGTGGGGTGGGGAGGTGGTGGGAGTGGGGGAGGGGTGGTGGTGTGGGGGGAGGGTGGTGAGGTAGAGGGAGGGTGGTGGTGTGGGGGGGGAGGGTGGTGGGGTAGGGGGAGGTGGGGTGGGGGAGGGGTGGTGAGGTGGGGGAGGGGTGGTGGGGTAGGGGAAGAACTGCGTCATAGAGTAGAAAGAGTTTGGCCACCTCGGTCTCAAGTTAGGTCTAACGTGATTGATCGAGTCAGGTCACGTGATATCCTGGCGCCATCTTGCATCCTTGCCCAGTAACCATAGAAACATACAGTACCTGGCCTGGGAGACAATTTGCTTTTAAAAGTTTTCATGTCATGTTTTTGTAGCATCCGTCTGTGTTACAACTGTCCGGGAATGGGGAGGATGATGCACTGACTCCCGAGACCCAAAGAGAAGAAGAAAATGGGAAATGAAGAACTCCTGCCCTGTCTATATACACTCATAATAATAATAATAATAATAATAATAATAATAATAATAATAATAATAATAATAATAATAATAATAATAATAATAATAATAAAAATTAACGGTTTATTAAGATAACATGGCAGCCCGAAGGCTGAAAATATACACTGAACAGAGGTGATAGGTTACATGTAGTGGAAGCGGGGAGTGGGTCACTTGATTGACAAAAGCTTTCAATACAAAAATATAAGAAACAAAGAGTCAAGACGTACCTGGCGCTCCTCTGGGAGCAGCCAGGTCAACTGTTAAGTTGGCCCATACCAACTCCACCCCCTGAACCCTCCTCCCCACCGGAATATCAACAAGTTCTCGCCGGAAGTTACAATTTCATTTAGGAAAAGAATGGAACCAGTGTTGAACAGAGGTGAACAGTGGTGAACAGCGCTTAAGTCAGTGAGAACAACTCAACAGTAACAGCCTCACACAGTAAGGTCCCAGGTACCCAGTAATAACTGCCGGTGAGACCCAACAACAACCAGCGATGTGTTAATCCGTCTACGATGGGAAGGACTGGGACCACACCTCACTCATATAACACCGTCTGTGAGGGAATTACTGCATCACGTCAGGTCCCTCATAACACCATCTGTGAGGGAATTACTACATCACGTCAGGTCCCTCATAACACCATGTGTGAGGGAATTCGTACACCACGTGAAGCCCCTCATAACACCATCTGTGAGGGAATTACTACACCACGTGGTCTCTCATAACACCATCTGTGAGGGAATTACTACACCACATCAGGTCCCCCATAATACCATCTGTGAGGGAGCTACTACACCATGTGAGGTCCCTTTTTTTAGGAAAGTCTTCGAGGTAGTAGATAATGACGAAAATTACGATGTTATTTACTTACACTTTAGCAAAGCATTTGACTGAGTACCGCATCAGAGGCTTCTGAGAAAAGTTAAGGCTCATGGTATCGAGGGAAAGTTTTAAATTGGATAAAATCATGGGTCACCGATAGAACACAGTGGGTCAGCGTAGATGGTGTTAAATCTGAGTGGGGTTGTGTAACCAGTGGTGTTCCCCAGGGGTCAGTACTGGGCCCACTCTTGTTCATAATCTACATAAACGATCTAGATACTGGGATCAGCAGTGACATAAGCAAGTTTGCGGATGACACCAAAATAGGGAGGCAGATTAATTCAGGGCAGGATGCAAATGAACTACAGGAGGATTTAAATAAACTGCAGGAGTGGTCAGAAAAATGGCAAATTAAATTCAACACCAGCAAGTGCAGCGTACTGAATATTGGAAGAACAAATACTGTCAATGTATACAGCCCTAACAGCATCAACCTAGAGAAGTCGATTTGTGAAAGAAACTTAGGGGTACTTGTAAGCCAGGACCTACGGCCTAGAAAACATTGAGTTAATGTTCGAAATAAGGCAACCAGAGTATTAGGTTTTATATCTAGAAGTGTAAGTAATAAGAGTGCACAGGTCTTATTGCAACTATATCTTGCGCTAGTCAGGCCGCACCTCGATTATGCGGTTCAGTTCTGGTGCCCTTCTTACAGAATGGATATCAATTCAATGGAGTTGGTGCAGCGAAGAATGACGAAAATGATTCCGGGACTTAGAAACCTTCCATATCAAGATAGGTTAAAGAAACTAAACTTGCATTCCCTAGAAAGACGAAGAGTGCGGGGAGATATGATAGAAATATTTAAGTGGGTGAAACGAATCAATAAAGGGGATATAGATAAAGTTCTTATAATATCCGAGCAGGATAGGACTCGTAGCAACGGATTTAAGTTGGATAAGTTTAGGTTTAGGAGGGAGATAGGAAGGAAATGGTTCACAAATAGGGTGGTGGACGAGTGGAACAAGCTTAGCAACTTTGTAAGAACATAAGAATGGAGGAAACTGCAGCCGGCCTATTGGCCCATACTGGGCAGTCCCGTTTACACCCAACCCCTATTGCTCATATAAGCATCCAACCTATGTTTGAAGCTATTCAGCGTATTCGAGTTAATGATGATATTTAGTAACTTGTTCCATTCATCCACTACTCTGTTTCCAAACCAGTATTTACCTATTTCACGCCTAAATCTAAATTTGTCTAATTTAAAACTATTGTTACGAGTTCGCTCCTGGTTGGATAGTTTGAGTACCTTTGTAATGTCCCCTTTGTTTAGCCCTGACTTCCACTTACACACCTCTATCAGGTCGTCCCTCACTCTACGTCTCTCGAGGGAGTGCAAATTAAGATACTTTAACCTGTCTCTATACTCAAGGTTCCTAATGCCCGGGATTAGTCTTATCATTCTCCTCTGAATTCTTTCCAATGATTCTATATCCATCCTGTAATACAGTGACCAGAACTGAACTGCATAATTCAGGTGTGGTCTCACAAGCTCAAGATACAGTTTTAGGATGACCTCGCTAGTCTTGTAACTAACACTCCTTTGTGTGAACCCAAGTACTTTATTAGCCTTGTTACGAGCAAAAACACATTGTTTACTTGGCTTGAGGTTCCTACTTATCATTACTCCTAAATCTCTCTCGCAGTCGGATTTCTCTATGGCATCGTTGTTCATCTGGTATCTGGTTTCCCTGTTTACATCTCCTATACTGAGTACTTTACATTTGTCCACGTTGAATTTCATCTGCCATTTTTCAGGCCATTCGAAAAATTCGTTTAGATCTTCCTGTAGTTTTGCGGAGTCCTCGTCAGATTTAATAACACGTCCTATTTTAGTGTCATCAGCAAATTTACTTATGCTGCTGTCTATGCCGATATCTATGTCGTTTATGTATATAGTAAATAATAATGGTCCAAGTACTGAGCCTTGGGGAACTCCACTTACTTTGTTTACACGCTCCCACTGCAGTCTCCTCCACCCCCGTGCCCATATGTTCCCCTAGCAGTTTAAAGACTTCGATATCCTTTGAACTGCCCCCTCTAGAGACCCAGCCAGGCTTGCCACCCCATCCCGAGACAGGTGCACCCCATCCCTAGCATAAAGGTCCCTTCTGCCGTCGAAGTTGTCCCA